TCCTTTATCTCCTCCGGGGTCTCATGTCAGGATGCAGGCAAGCTGCGGGGCCTTCAGACTGGCCCACGCAGTGCTTCCGGAGCCCCGAACCACCTGTGAGGCGCTGACGGAGCCTCATTTTACAGATGAGGATGCTGCGACTCAGAAATGAAGTGGCACCTGATAAGTAGCAGGTGGCACTGAAGCTTAGGTCTGACTCAGTACCCGGTGCCTTCACAGGCTGCATCCCCGTCCCTGCAAAATCTCCGGCCTGTCAAACTGGAGCCTGCACACCCGCCTGGTGTAGAGCCAGCCCCTGGGAGCCTCCCAGGCAGCGCTGGCCAGGGCCTGGGCCGGGCCCACAGCCCTCCAGAGCTGATGTTCTTCCCCTCCCTGGGGCAGGTCTGAACGGGATGAACAGCAGCATCTGGGAGCATTTTGCCTCTGGAAGCTTCTCCCCGGGCACTTCCCCTGCCTTCTTGTCAGGGCCAGGGGCTGCTGAGCTGGCCCGGCTTCGGCAAGAGCTAGATGAAGCCAATGGCACCATCAAGCAGTGGGAGGAGTCCTGGAAGCAGGCCAAGCAGGTACTGGGCCCCGTGCCCACCGACCTTCCCCAGTACCTGGTGGCATCTAGCCCAACACCATCCATATAGGGTGGGCATGGGGGGAGTAGCGGAGAGCAGAGGCCCAAAGAACAGAGCAGAACACAGTTTCGTACCCTCTCTGACCCCATGGGAGGACTGGCCTTGCCAGTCAGGAGCCTGGGGTGGCTGGTGTCCCAGGTTAGAACTCCCTCCATGAGCTGCTTGTGTAGTCTAGTCCTGAACCACCTGCTGCTCCCCAGAAGCCCCTAATCTCCAGAGTTCTAGGTTCTGAGATGAGCCCTCTGCCCAGCTGCAGCCTGGCAGCCCCTGGGGAGGCTTACCAGGACATAAGCTCTGCCTGAGCCCCCTTCCCTGCCAGAGGGAGGGTCTCCTGCAGGTCTTGACACCTCTCTTCTCTGCAGGCAGCATCCGTCTCCTCCCTGCCCCCCTTCCCAGACAGCAGACCCAGCTTCCCAGCACACCCTGCAGCCAGAGTGGTCCACACACAGGCCCCCAGAGATGCTCCCTGAGGAAATGGGGGGGCAGGGGTGCGGGGGCCATCGTGACGAGGTGCTGCGTGTTGGGCCCACAGGCTTGTGATGCCTGGAAGAAGGAGGCGGAAGAGGCTGGTGAGCGGGCCAGCGCGGCTGGCGCGGAGTGCGAGCTGGCCCGGGAGCAGCGGGACGCGCTCGAGGCGCAGGTGAAGAAGCTCCAGGAGGAGCTGGAGCGGCTGCACTCGGGGCCTGACCCCCAGGCCCTGCCTGCCTTCCCCAACCTGGAGGCACTCTCGCTGTCCACCCTCTACTCCCTCCAGAAGCAGCTGCGGGCCCACCTGGAGCAAGTGGACAAGGTCAGCCCAGGAGGTCAGGGAGCACCGGGTGGGGGTAGCCTCAGCACTGGGGACACTCGGGATGTGGGCTGCTGGGAGAGGGTGGGGGAGAGTATGCGCTCAGGGGAGTGGGGACACCGGGACTGCAGGGCCATCAGTGCCCACCCCCAGCTCTTCTGAGGGCGGTGCTGACCTGAGCGGCATCCTTCTGTAAGCTCCCCACGGGCCAGCAGGCCTTCTGGAGGGCGTGGCTCAGCAGAAAGAGCCCTTTCTCCTGCATTAGACGTCGAGCAACTGGGCCCCCAGATGTGGCCGTGTCCCCTTGGGAATGTCGCAGTCTTCTCTAGGCCTCATTTTTCTCGTTGGGAGGACCTGGGGGCACCCCAAGGTAGCAGCCTCCGTGAGCAGAAACGCCCTCAGGGATGGGAGTGCGCAGTGGGTGGCTCCCTGGCCCGCCCCCAGCGCTGTGCTGAGAGCAGCCTGGACTCTGACCCTGCTCTCTCACTTGCCAGTGGGGGCCTGGGAGCACACTGTTGAGCTCGGTGCCTCAGTTTCCTCATGCCCAGGGGGCTGAAGTAAGAGTGAAGCCTTGTTCAACTCGGGGCCAGGCCAGTCGCAGAGACCACACCAGTGACCATGATGCCACTTTCCTGCAGGCCGTGTTCCACATGCAGTCGGTAAAATGCCTTAAGTGTCAGGAGCAGAACCGGGCGGTGCTGCCATGCCAACACGCCGTGCTGTGCGAGCTCTGTGCCGAGGGCAGCGAGTGCCCGGTCTGCCAGCCCGGCCGGGCCCACGCCCTCCAGTCGTGACCCTGCAAGCCCGGCCCAGCCTGGCCTAGATCTTCTCACCTAGGACTTTTTAAAGTATATATATATATATGTATGTATGTATGTATGTATATGTATATGTACATGATTATGTATATGTATACATTTCCGTATGTGTGCAGGTATGCGTGGGTGGTGTGAACAGTGTCTGTGTGTATATCTGTACATAGATATAGACACACACTTTAAAACAGATTTACCAAGCACTTTTTAAAAGAAAAAACTATTTTGCAGTCCTCCCCTGCCCACTCCCAGCCCTTTCCACAGCAGAGACAAAATTCCCCCTTCTCCCTCTGGCCTTTTGGCAGAGAATCTGTTTCTGTCTCTTTTTTAATGTAGGAACTAACTATTTTTAACTTCTTCCTGGGGCCTGAGCAGGGAAGGATGGGGAGCTGGAAGGGACTGAGGGGAGAGGCGGGACCTGCCTGGCAGGCCTTGTTCTCCGTGCCTCCCCAGGGCATGGAGCATGGAGGGCTTGGGGCCTCCAGGGCAGATCCGGTCCCCAGCTGTGAAGGTCTCCGCCAGCCTAGCTACTAGTTTTACCAAATGTGTATTATTTAGTCCTGGGGACGATGGCAGGGGCTGGCAGGCCCAAGCGGCAGGGCCAGCCCCACTCGCAACACCTGGGCCCTTGAAGCTCCTCGAGGGGCAAGGCCCAGGAGCTCTGCCCCTCAGGTTCCCGAGGCCTGGGGTCCACCCTCAGTCCTCTCCCCCTAGACTCCCCACAACAGCCTCCCTTGCCCCAGGGCCACTCACCGGGCTGGCATCCCCCCTTGGTGACCCCCCCAGGCTATCCTCAGCTGTCCCTGCCCCCTGCCCTCTCTGGCACGGCTTGGCCCACCGTGCTGTCCGCCCCCTCCCTCTGGCAGCTAGCAGGGCAATTGGTGGGGAGGAGTGTGGACTGAGGACCAAGGGGGCCCAGGCCCTGCCCTCCTTACCAGGAGGGGCTCCGTATGCATTCCTTGGTGCTCTCTGAGTGCAGCTGATGTCCTGCCCCTGTCTGGGCAGACACCTGTGTGCATGTGTGTGTGTGCCTGTCCAATGTATATTGTGTCTTAGCTTCCATTTTAAAAATTGTTCTGTACAGAGAGAGATGCAGCAGGGGTGGGAGGGCAGAGCGGGCAGAGGGAAGCGACCCCACTCCCAGCACTGGGTGTCTGGGGTGGGAGTGAGGGGGCTGCAGAGGGTCTGGCCCTGGTCAGGCCCCCCTTGGGCTCAGCACGAAAGGGCTTTCAATGAATTAAGTGAAAACTTTTTCCTTTTTTACAAAAATGCAAAAATCAACAAAGCTCCAAACCTATTGGAAATAAAATATGAACTTGCAGCGGTAACTTATTTACATGGGAGTGGGGGGGCTGGGCCCCCAATGAGGGCCTTTGGGCCACGAGCCGCCAGGAGATCGGAGCGTGGAAACAGGCAAGGCAGTCAGAGCCCTGGAGGCCCCCAGCCAGTGGAGAGCTCCCTGACCCAGGCCTGCCCGGGTCGATGAGACGGGGGCACAGAGACCTCGCAGGCGCTAGGACTCTGCCGTGCAGGGCTCTGTAGTCAGCTGTGACTGCTTTACTTGGTGTTCTCCAAAAGGCAGTAGAGCCCCTCACTGTTTCTCAGAGGAAGGTAATGCCTTCCCCTTGGGAAGATTTGGTGGGGCCCGGAGGAAGTGAGTGCCCTGCCCTCCACCCTACTGTCTTCACCTGCCCCTGCGGGACGAGGGGCCCAAGTTTTAAAAGCCACACACTACCTCCCCTGCCCTCACCCTAGTGGGTCCTCTCTGCATGGCCTCAGGTTCAGAGCTGCAAAGGGCCTTGGAGATCACCTTATCCAATGTTAAGAGAACCGACCAGGCCTCAGGCTCCAGCTCCCAGTGCATAAGGGCCACCGCCCCCGAAGCAGGACAGGGACACCTCTCCTCCAGTCCTACTGTAGCGTGGCCCTCCAGTCTCACCTGCACCCCTGGGAGGCCCTGCTCACGGTGCTTCCCTGGAGGAACAGGCTTCCATCCTGGGCGGTAGCCACAGAAACTGATGTGCCTGGTATAGTGACTTGGTCACAGCCCATCGCCCTAGGCCCCTGCTCCTGCCTCAGTTACCCCACACCACCTCCCTGCTTTGGAGCGTGGGGGATGAGAGTGGGCCAGGCCCCAGGGAGGGGAGGTGGTCACATGGCCAGACTGCAGCTTTCTGGGCTCCACTGTAGGCCAAAAGTATACTTTCTAAAGGTAATGCGTCGGGTTTATTTATTTATTTTTGCTAAGAAGGTTTCTAGGTGGCAGGTGCTAGCCTAGGGAGGAGGTGATCTCAGTAGACACAGCTAGCCAACTGTCCTTTCTGCTTCCGTCCCTCTGTGCCAATCCTGCCACCTGCCAGCTCTCACTGCCTCAGCCAGAAGGTCCTTGGTCTGGGTACTGGCAGCCCCCGGGGAGGGGACCCAGCTCCCTCTAGTAGTGGACACCACCCCAACTCCCCCAGGGCAGCTAGAGCCTCATATTTGGGAGGGTCCTCTCCCCCTCCCGCAGGAGGCTCTGTGCCTGCAGTCCTGGGCCCAGTGAGCCTCCCCCGCCCCCTCCCCCTGCCAGTGGCCGGAACAGGCAGGCTGGGAGACAGATGGCCGGAGGCCCGCCAGAGCAGCTTTCCAAGAGGCGAGCAAGGGCAGGAGATGCTCCCTCTGGTGCTGGGATGTGGCAGAGAATGCTGTGGCCGGGGTGGGGGTGGG